TTGGCTTTTTGAGACAGGGTCTTCTTGTAGCCCCAACTGTTCTGGAACTCACTATGTAGACCAGGCTGGCCTCGAACTCACAAAGATCCTTCTGCCTCTGCCTCCCATGTGCTGGGATTAAAGGCGTGCACCACCACGCCTGGCCTTATTATTTTTATTTTATGTGTATGAGTGTTATGCCTGCATGTAGGCAAGTGCATCTGTGTTGTGCAATACTCGCGGAGGGCAGAAGAGGCCATCAGATCCCCTGGAACTGGAGTTATGGACAGTGTTCTTATAACCACTGAGCCATCTCTCCAGCCTTCACCTGCACTTCTAAGTTCAATGCAGCCTGAGCTCTGGGCAGTGGCTTGGTGGTGGCATACCTTGATATTGCTGTTTTGTTTTTTTTTTTTTTCAAGAATTAAGTCATTTATAGGCAAACTGGGTCATGGTGGAACTGAGGTTAGTGTTTTGTTCTCAGTGCACTGCTCACCTGGCTGAGTTTGGTCCTGTGCACCTCAAGTTGATCTGCACTGTTCTAGTAATGTTTGTATATAATATTGTTCATCACATGAAGGTGATAATCGCGCCTCATGGCCACATTCTAGGAGTCTGAGACTGTGAGTCTTCATTGGCATTTTGGCTGGATTTAAATCACCAAGGAGATGCACCTCTGGGTATGTCTGTGAGGAGGGAAGACTCCCTGAACAAGAGGAGGAGGAGGAGGGGGAGGGGAGGGAGAGGAGGAGGAGAAGGAGGGGGAGGAAGAGGAGGTGGCGGAGGGGAGGAGGAGGAGGGGGAGGAGGGGGGGAGGAGGAGGAGAAGGAGGGGGAGGAAGAGGAGGTGGGGGAGGAGAGGAGGAGGAGGACGAGGAGGAGGAGGAGGAGGAGGAAGAGGAGGTGGGGGAGGAGAGGAGGAGGAGGACGACGAGGACGACGAGGAGGAGGAGGAGGACGAGGAGCCCAAGCCTTGACAGATTGCATCTCCTCAACCAGGAGCCAAGAGAGACCCCCTTCTTAAGTTGCTTCTTTCTATCATTTGGTTGCAGTGATTAACAGTCTTTTTCCTCATCGGTGGTAAGGTGCTATCTGTGAGTCTGTGGGGAAGCTTGGACTTCATGGTGAAGTAACACATTCTAATCAATAAAAACAAGGCCCCGAAGTGCCACGGGAACTCAGTCCTGGGCCTGTTCCTGCAGGACAGGCAGCGAGGACCAGGACAGGGGGCAGCGCTCTCAGACCCCCCCTGCTGGGTTAACAGGCCAATGAACTTGCAGTTTACCTGTACTCACACTCATCTTGTAGTAGGTGTGCAGCCCTGGGTGTTTTAAAATGGACATATAAATGCCTTTATTTCACATATAAGTGCAGGTGTGAGAACAGGTAGTGAGAGAGAATGTATGTGAGTGTGTATGAATGTGTGAGAGTATCTGTATGAGTGTGTATGAGAGTATGAGTGTGTGTGACTGTATGTGTATGAGTGTGTGTATATGAATGAGTGTATGAGTGACTGTGAATGTGTATGAGTGTGCGTGTATGAGTGTACATGAGTGTGTGTGTATGAGTGTGTGAGTGTGCAAGTGTATGTGCATATGTGTGTGAGAATGTGTGTGCGCATGAGTGTATGAGTGTGTGTGTATGTGTGAGTATGCATGAATGTGGAGGCTAGAGGTCTATGTCAG